GTGGTGGACTCTGGATGGTCAATTCTAAACCCAGTTCATTCCCTAGCTGGAGATCTCCAACGCATCTGATTCTTCTCCGTCCGTCCTTAGAATACAAAGTGTGGCCTCACACTAATTATACAGCACAGATCTATGAATGTCACTCTGGAGCGTATTAAGTGCCTTAATAAACGAGTGCTGGGTGTTTGATGCAGGAGAAGCTCTGCGAGGCCTAAAGTTCTCTAAAGTCAGGGTCTGAAGCTGAGGCTCCGTCATTCTTCTGTTCAGTTCATCGGCAAGAGCCTGCACGTGTGTCGAGTACCGGCAGATTATTTAGAACGCTGGTGTTTTGGTTCTGCGGCTCCCCTTGCCCTGGGTTTCTGGTGAGTCGGTCGGTGCTGCCCTGTGTGCTGTGTAGGTCTGCACGGGTGAATGTGGATCCAGATCTGGGACAGCTGGAACCCGGGACTGAGCGTCAGATTTGGGGAGTTCTCGCAGAGGCTGGTCATGCTCCGCCTCGGGGAGGCCTGCCAGTGGGCCTTGAGCCACCCTGGGCAGGGCACCAAGATGGAGATTTCAGCTGGAAGAGGAGGGCAGGGTTGGGACCTGTGTGCTGAGAGCAAGGTGAGGGGCCGGGTCACGTGGGCTCTGCTTTGAGCCACAGGGCAGAGCCGGCCGGCTGGGTGTTGAGCTCTCGAAGCAGGGAGCCCTGCGGTTGCTTCACCGTGGCCAGCTGGCCTCTAAATGGAATATGCTGGATTTCTCGGTTCCCCTGTCTTGCCGAAATCAGTTCTGTTGAGATTTCAGTTAATCAGCGGCTCACCCGTGGTCAACTTCTTGATTCCCTTTAGAGTCAGTTGTGTTACTGGTTCGGGTTGAATATCCTTTTGCAACCTCAGTTTCCAGGTGCCAGCGGGCCAGTGGCTCCTAAGCTCTCCGAGTGGCCCACCGTGTCATTTAGCTGTCTAGTGCTGGTCTGAAATCGGGGAACAGGGGAGGCAACACATCTGTTGAGATCCTTTCACATGCTGGGCACTGTTCTCATTTTTCATGGCAAGGCAGGAAACTGAGGCTCCGAGGTGGTGGCTTGTTGCCGAAAGTCACACAGGTCAAGGTGATGGGCTGCCACGAGCCCTTTTCCTGGAGAGGCGTCCTCGGCAGTGTGCCCGGGGTTAGCTTCTCTTGCACATTCTGTTTCCATTTTGAGGAGCCAGTTTTAGTTGCTCAGGTGTATCCAGACTTTTTTTCCCCCTCAGCCACAGCATTCCTGGGGGATGGGAAGCATTCCCGCTGGTACTGGGGGAGATGCTCCAATCCCAGGAGATCAGAGCAGTCTCCCGGGAGAAGGTGATAGAGTGACAGCCTGAGGAGCCACTGCCATCCTGAAACAGAAAGCCTGTACAGTCAGCCGGGAAGTCAGAAGGGAGGGAAAAGTTGGATTAAAAGTTGATCTGTGGAAGCCTGTTATCGCCCTTCTGGCTAGACACATCTATTCCCTTGGCTGGTCAGCCATCCTGGTCTTGGAACGAATTCTGGCACCCAGCTCTTATTTCAGGTTTTTAAATGTTATCAGCCACTAGAATGTTCTGTCATCCCAACAGCACGTGTTTCTTATCTTGTGACTTATAACTGCCAAGATTACACTTTTATTTCCCACTGGCTGGTTTGGCACTGGTGGCTCCCAGATGAGACTTGGATTCTGGAGGGGTATTTTGGGCACCTTGATCCCTTCCCATACCTGTTTCTCTCTTCTGGTTTGGTGTCTCTAGTTGGCCCATCCTGTCTGCGTGTGCATGGTTTCTCATCTATAATTTTGCATCTCCCACTCCTGGCCCAGCCCCCGGACCAGGTGGTTCCTTTCTTGGGCACCTGCAGCCCTGTGTGCTCTGATTATCCACCCCTGTAGAGGGCTGCTGCCTTTTTATTACCTATTGATTCCAGCCGGGAAAGTCACCAGGTGGCTCTCACCTTCCCTACAACTGACGCCCCCCCACCGTCTGTTTATTTAGCATAGTCAGGGAATGTGATTATTCATTCAAATGACTGTTGAGTTCCGCAAAGTTTTTCTGCTTTAACCACTTCAGTGAAAAAATAGAGAGAGAGCGCCTGCATTTCTCTGCCTTCAAAGTGGGGAGAACATAAGGGGCCCTTTTCTTGTATCTCGGGGTTGGCGCCTCAGGCATCATGATCACAGAGCTTTTCTGGCGTGTCCACCACTCAGGGCCTTACACTAATGGGTCCTGGACTGTTAGGCGTTTTAAATTCTCCCCTCTGTGTTTTATATTTTGGGGGGTGGTTCTTTTATTGCCAGCTTTCTCTTTTCATTATTGTAAGTGCCTCTAATAGATCCCTTCTTCCCAATGAAACTCACGCTTTCTCCCTCACAGCGTTCATTGTGAGGATCAGACAAGGCCATGTGAAGGCATTGGGGCTGGGAACTCTGGAGCCCTTCCAGCCCGAGCCCCTGTCCTGCTGCTGGGTCTCCCCTTGAGGGGAAGAGAGAATGAGTCCAGGGAGGGGCCGGGAAAGCTGCAGACACCCCAGCTGGCTAGCTCGGGCAAATCAGTGGCCTTCTGGAGGACCCTCAGTTTTCTGAGCTGTAAAATTGGGATTAAATTGTCCCTCCCTGTTTCCTTGAGTTGCCAGGAGGTCAGAAAAAAAAGGAAGCCTCGAATGTGTGTATCAAAGTGACTGTAAACCCAAATGCCATCGTTGGCGGTTAACGTTCAGGTTGGAAGCTTACCCTGCAAACTGCTGCAGGGAACTGTCAGTTCTCGGGGGCTTGTTCTTGCGGAGATACTCAGCTCCTGGCTGGCTCCCTCCTTCCTGCTGGCTCTGGGTAGGATGCTGAGTCAGCAGTCATACATCTCCGTGCCTCCTGCGTCTCACATAGTTTTGGTACAGCCAAATCAGGTTTAACCACAGTGCAGGCACCCACATGTATACACATGCATGCATGCCCCGTGCATGTACGAAAACAGTGCTGGATCATCTCTCCCTCTCACGTGGCACGTTTGTAGGCATGCTTTTACTTATCCCTGCTTCCTCATAAAGCATTCTCTACCTGTTTTCAAGAAAACACTGCTATCTTAGAACCGAGTCTGAAACACTGAAGCGCTACTAAGACGCTATGACTGTTCTTCATTTTTAGGCGAGCAGCAGGTCTTATTTCTTACAACACATTATTTTTTAAATCCGGGGCTCTCCTCACCTGTGGGAATAGCATCTGTTCAAAATCATAAATTTGATGGGATAAGCAAGGGCTTGCCGTCTAAGGGAGATGCAGTCCGTCGGAACTAATAGAAGTAGTTACAGATCACTGAGCCCTGTGTGCCCAGTACTGTGCTAAGAATTGTCTTGTTTCATACGGAGTAGTGTATGCACAGCAGAGCAATGAATAAAGGGCACTGGTGGTTTTGAAAGCAAATGGGGAGCTAGGTGTGAAGGAAGGGGAAGTGTAGTTCTGGGCTGAACTGTGAAAATGCTTTCCTTCCCTGCCGGCAGTGCAAACAGAATGGTCTCTTTTACTTGATTGATTGGCTGTTGTGCAGTCAGACCGACAAAAGTATTTGTTGATCAGGGTCATTTGTTATTTGCTGGAGAAAATTCAGTGTAACCAGATCAGGTGACCTATTTCTGTGGCCCATCTGCTGGGATATGAAAATAGCACGGCTATTTGGGGCCCTTATTTTCTCCTTCCATTTTTCTGTTACATCTATTACTCAGATGATGGTAGTCTAAACTATTATACATCGAGGCAGTGTAATCCAGTTTTTTTTTTTTTTTTTTTTGCGGTACGTGGGCCTCTCACTGTTGTGGCCTCTCCCGTTGTGGAGCACAGGCTCCGGACGCGCAGGCTCAGCGGCCATGGCTCACGGACCCAGCCGCTCAGCGGCATGTAGGATCCTCCTGGACCGGGGCACGAACCCGTGTCCCCTGCATTGGCAGGCGGACTCTCAACCACTGCGCCACCAGGGAAGCCCTGTAATCCAGTTTTTAAAAACCTTCAGACGTGCCACAACTAAAGATCCTGCACGTGGCAACGAAGATCCTGCATGTTGCAACTAAGACCCGGCACAGCCAAATAAATAAATAAGTAAATAAATATTAAAAAAAAAAAAAACTTCAGAAGAAGACAACAATTAGAATGACCTGAGAATCCAAATGGTCATTCTCTGAACAGCTGATTTAGAAATCTTGGTATTGAATCAATTACTAATGTGCTCAGTGCTGTGATCTTAAGCTCATATCATGAAAACCTAAAATGCATACCACACATTTAAAAAATGGTGTAACAGGACCTGATGTATAACTTGAGAGACCTAGATGTTTTAGTGCAGGCCCTTGGCTACCCTTGGAGGTTTTTCTGTCCAAAGCCAGGCTGGGAAGAAAATCCTCTGGGAAGAAACGGTCAATATATGCTCAGTGAAGTGAATTTTTTTTTTTTTACTTTTTCTGGAGAAGACACCCCAGAAGAAAATAAGGCTTAAGAAACTACCAGGCAGCATTTGGGTGGTGATGGTGGAGTATGACAGCTTACCTCTTTCTGCCAAGGTTCAGATAGCAAGGACCACAGACGCATTTGCATATAGTCATCAATATGCTGTGGACAGACATGGCATCTCTCAACAGAGATCGTCCCTGGCCAAGAATTGCTAAAAAAGAATTGTTTTGGACAAATGAATTGTCCTATTCTCCACTGAGTTCTGTTATAAAATAAAAGATGTGGTGTGCTGTAACATTTTGACCTTTGCATGAGCTTAGAATGTCACATTGAAAAAGAAATGAAGTTAAAACTTTACAGATTTAAAAGGAAATATTAGGGACTTCCCTGGTAGCGCAGTGGTTAAGAATCCGCCTGCCAGTGCAGGGGACACGGATTCGAGCCCTGGTCAGGGAAGATCCCACATGCCGCGGAACCACTAAGCCTGTGCACCACAACTGCTGAAGCCCGTGCGCCTAGAGCCCATGCTCCGCAACAAGAGAAGCCACTGCAATGAGAAGTCCACATGCCGCAACTAGAGGAATCCCGCACACAGCAACGAAGACCCAACGCAGACATAAATAAATAAATAAATAAAATTAAAAAGAAAACATTAGCAACTTTCTGATAAAAGATTAAGAATGATATGCAAAATATTAGCCAAAGAACCCAAAACTCAAATCGATGTTCTGTGCGGTGGTTACCAGGGGAGATCATAGAGTAGAAAGCTTAAGGTTAGTGGAGAACCTGAAACTCTTGGAAGAGGTGTAATGCCCGGCACCTTGGTCCCTAAATTGTTCATTAGAGAGGCAGCAAAGCACCCATGTTTTGGCAAAGGGGAGTCTTACCCCAAACTTCACCCACCACCAAAACCCCCATTAGTTGTGTAATGAATCAGTTTGACTTTATGACCTGTGTCCTGGAAGTGCTACTCGGTGATGTCATGGCCCGTTGCCATGGGAGGTAGGAGAGAGCACCCGTTGAGCGTGAGTGCATGCGCGCGCGCACACACACATGGATGTGCTGAGACCTGGGATTCTCCGGCAACAGTGACATGTCAAATGGCAATTTGCAACTTAGAACCACAGAGAGGGTTTGTTTTCCTATTCTGTCGGTCCCAGTTATTTAACTGATGGCAGATGTCCTCATTAAGGGCTATTAGCGCATCAGAAGATGTTTGCTGAGCCTGGAGAAGGTCTAACCTCTTTTACATGGACCAAAATACATCTTCTCGGGTAGCCAACCCCTCCCTGTGGGTGACAGTGGTGGGGTGAGAAGCAAAGAGGACTCGGGATATCTTAAAACTGTACATCAGCCAGGAAGTCTTTTTTAGCATGAGTTTATGTTTCGGTCAAGGACTTCCGTAAGTCGAGAATGTAACATTGTAAAGCTGGATTTGACTGTGTGTTGAAACACTGTTATTGTTACCCTGAAAAAGATGTTTCTTGATTTCTCTTTGCCGACCCTGAACCATATGGCAAGTTAGGGGCTGGCTGGTTATTATGGACCATCAGTAGCTCCCAAGAAAGAAACCAATAGGGGGGTGAGTTGAAAGTAGAGATCAGGGAAGAAAGATTTGAAGGAAGCGGTGGTTACATTGGTAGAAACATGCTGGGAGGGGGTTGGGACCCTCAAGCTAAGGTATAAAGTAACAGGCCGTCCTGGAAAGTCCCTCTAGAGTCTACATTAACCTGGATCCTCTTCCTGCCTGCATGGCAGACCTCTGTAGGTGCTTGAATTCACTTCCAAATCCCCGAAGGACTTGAGGGATGGTGTTATCTGTTGAGCCATGTTCCTAATGTAATGCTGATCAACGCACCTGGCCATCCTGCCCAGCCTACGTTTAATCTAGATTCATGTTTTTTCACTTCCATGCTATCAATCCTCAGTGTAAATTCGGCTAAGATTTCCCTTAACTTTTGGGATTGATTACATTATCTCTCTCCACCCTCTCAGAGGGCAATATTGTGTATAAAGGTCTTCCCAAACTGCTAAATGATTAACAGTGACCTGGACTGTTGAACAAGGTTGGAGGAAAGCATTGGCCTTTATTTTGTAGGTGGGAGGCTAAGATGCAAGTGGAGAATGGGTTTTCAAGGAAAGAAAAAGCGCACAAGGAGACTTGCAGGATTGGGAGCTGTTTTTTTGTTTTGCTTCTGCTTCTTTTTTTTTTGTTTCCTGTAGAGGTTCACTGACATAGGGGAAAAAAATACCATGTAGATGAAAAGCAACTTGAGTGTTTTATTTTGAGAGATCTCACACCTATTGGAATAATGGTAGGATCAGGCCCTTTGACACCAGATAGACATGAGTTCAGTCCCTAGTGGCTGCCTTTCCTGGTTGTGTAGCCTTGGCAACCTAACCTCTCAGTGGCTCAGTTTCTTCATCAGACATAAAAGACCATATGTTTATCTTAAGTCGCTCTGAGGATTAAATTAGATACAATTTGCGAAAGCTGGTGCTATTAGGCATTTAATAAAGGCAGTTTCCCTTCCTTCTTTCTCTTCTGCTTTTAAAAATTAAGATTTGGGCGCACTATAAATAAAACAAATAATAAAAGGTATTTCAGGGTGGAATTCAGGCCAGTTAAAGGTGAAAGGCCAGAGAATGCATGTGGGAAGAAGCCGGAAGTGGGCAGGTTCACCAACTGTGCAAATCCAGCAGGCTTTGGAAGGTGCAGCTTCACAAAGCAAATAAAAAGCGTTCTTTACATTTAAAAAAAAAAACAGACTTAACAAAAACATCGTCAGAGTCTGTTAGCCAAATATTTCAGGCTCCGTCTGGAAGCCCAGGAATTTTGGAAATACTACCCTTTCTTCATTTCAGTGGTAGAAACCTCAAACTTCCTGCTGTGGAAAGTGGGGGTGGCCACTGTGTTTTTTTCTTTCTTTTTGTTTTTTTTTTTTTTTTTTGGGTCAAGAGCAGGATTGTTTCTTTCTCTGGATGGATGCTGCCATCTGATGTCTCTAAGTGGCACTGTGGCTTCACTTCTAGCTCAGCGATATTAAACTGAGGGTTTGAGATTCTTGTTTCTGGCCTGAGGCTTCGAGGATGGTGGTAGGTGACTGAGTTTTTAAAACCAAATTAGCACCAAATCAGCTTGGACATTTTTTTTGGTAGTGGTAAAGAATTTACTCCTTACGTTTTTATTCCTTTTGATGACATACATAGTAAAGCTTTCCAATAGAGTGTTACTAAATATAAAGTCACCAGACACCTAGAGAGGAACTCTGTAGGATGCTGCGATTTTGACCTTTTTCTTATCTCTTTGCTTTCTAGGGAATTCATGGTGGAGATACCATACTCTCTGATTCTAGCCCTTGAAGCTCTGAGTAAAACACTGATAAAAATGTGCCAAACCCTTTTCCTCTGTATTTGCGACTTTATTCTTATCTTTTAAACTTATTTTTACCCTTCACGTTTTGTTATTGTGGAGATGTTTGCCGAGCATACTTTGCTGGGATGGTTGGGAAGGAGGCCAGGAATCGGGAGACGAGAAGATGGCATGGGACCCAAACGAAACCCCGAGGTACTTCTGGACAAGGGTGAAAAGTAAAGAAGGTTTATGGAACTATTCAAAGAAAGTTTGAACCCATAGCTGTGGTGCAGTTTTCTCCTGGCATGGGTGCGGCCAGGGGCAGAGGGGTGGGAGGGAGGAGAAAGGCCGCTGGAACAGTCTCTGGAAATGCCAAGCTTAATAGACAGGGGTGGAGTTAGCCTGATGGGAATTCCAGGTAGGGAAACAGTGTTGGTATTGAGTCCATGAAAATCCTAGTATTTTACACCTGCCACAGCACCGGGGATATGCTCTGTACAAATCAGTTCCTCGACTAAATACTGACTGGAGAAGTGAGTTACGAGGGAACAGAGCGCCTGGGGCAGCAGAGATTCGGAGTGTGCTAGGGTACCGAGAGGGAATGAGCCGCAGGATGGCTGAGGAGCTCCGAGCGCTCTGGAGAAGGGGCAGCGTGAGTTCGCAGGGTGCCAGGTCTGATTCTTCCCCTTCCGCCAGCAGACCCAGCAGGCCTGGGAGCAGCTGTGCCCCCTGATAGCGATCCACCCCTCGAGCCCTGTGCGGATGCGAGGGATTCTGGTTTCTGGGGGTGAAGGGACTGCAGAGTTCTGACCTGTTGTTGGGTGACCAGTGGAAGTCAGTTCTTGGAGAGGAGTTGGTGGGAATGAAGCTGCTGACAAGGGCAACCGGTAGCCTGAGGACCGGGGGAGGGAACCAGGGAGGAGGGTATGCCTGGGGTTGTGAGCACAGAGATTGACCCTCTGGTGCTGGGCAGTACCTTGTGACCCAGGTCGTGACATGGACAGCAGAGATGGAAGTCAGTGGAGTCCAAGGAGGTGAGAATAGGGAAGTAGAGGCCATAGGTCATGGGCCCCAGGCAGAGGGTGTTTGGAAAGAGGAGGGGGAGCATGGTGTCCTAAAAAGACACAGACTTTGAAGTCAGTAGGTCCTGAGGGGCCCGGATTTGGCCTTTTACCCTGACCTTGGTCAAGTCTTTTAATCTCTCTGGGTCTTTGTTTTTTTGAGAACAGAATAAGGATGGACACTAATGGTACCTGTGGAATGAGAGAATGCCAGTACCGCACTTAGAGTCTAGCACATAGGAAATGCTCTTCAGCGTTAGGTATGAATACAATGTCTACACATAAATGAGGTGTTAAGAGGTGAGCTGTCCAGATAACCTGGGGGTTATATCTTATTACCTAACGGGGGAGGGGGGAAGGGATTATTCATCATCTTTAAGAACATGAAAGGTTAGTCTAATACAGAATTATTTAGAAGCCTGTGTCCAGAGGGCTTCTACTGGAACGTTCTCATTGCTCCTTGAAGGTTGATGAGGGGAGTATTAGCATTGTGACTTACAGATGAGGAAACAGGCTCTGAGTGGGGTCCACGCTGCAGCCTGAGGCAGATCTGCTGTGTTTTCCCTGCATCCTGCTTAGCGGGGAGGCTGTGGATCAGGGGTGGGATTTCCCAAGAGCAAGCTCGTTGACTGTTTTGAATCTCTGAGGTCCCATCAGATTGACTTCCTCTTTTCTGGAATGGTGTAGGCACCTGAAGGTCAAGGGGTGTCACCCCACCCCCACCCCTGCCCTGGGGCTCAGAGAGTGCCGGCTCGTTAGAAGCCCGCCTCTCAGGCAGGAGGATTTTGACTAAAGGAGCATCACACCAAGCTTTCTGGTGTTGTCTCCTTCCTAGCTCTTCTTCCCTATAAAATGCAGAGGACAGCGCTCCCCAGTGCCCTGCTTTCTGGAGTATTATGCGTGGGGGTGAGCTGATGCCTCTGAGCACGCAGAAATGATGGGTGCGGTTTCCAGAGCAGCTCCTGTCCATCGTGGGGTGACCGTGCAGAGGCCTGGAATGGTTCTCCTTGGTCCATGTCAGGGCTGTGGCCCTGCGTTTCCATCAGCCCTGAATGCTCGAGTGGCCTGAGCCCGGAGCCTGTCGGGGGCAGGGTGCAGGCAGTTGGGAGGCGCTGAGAAGACCTGGGTTTGGAGTCAGGAGACCAGATCTCGTTCAGGCTCTGACACCAACTACCTGTACCGCCAGGAATAAGTCGCTTAAGCTCCCCCACATTAGTTCCCTCAAGTGGAAAACAAGGAATAGTTAGCACGGCTCACTTCTGTGGCTGTTGGCAACTTTGAAGCCAGCTGAGCTTGAGAATCTGAGTGTCTGACAGACCCCCTCCCGCTCTGACTTAGTGCTGTTGTAATAGCATCCTGACCCGGGAAGCGGACGTTGGTGTGTGTGCTGAGATGCTCCCTGCGGGCAGAGCAGTTTCGGCAACACAGCCCTGGGTACAGCCCTCAGGAAGAAGAATAAGGAATTTGTTAAATTTGCAGTGATGCATCCGCCTAAGAAAACACTGTGTGACTTATAAAAGTATGATTGTAGAATAACATGTAATGATACAGTATAACCCACACAGGATAAGTGTAAATTCAGTTTACCAAACCATGATCCCATTTTTGTAGAAATAGAAATGTATAAACCTGTGTGTAGAAGAAAGCTTGGAATGCTTTAGGAAACATGGGTATCTGTGGGAGGCGGCTTCTTGAGGGATTTGTTTTTCTTTGTGCTTATCAGTACATTCTAAATGTCCTACTAGTAACAGGTGTTACTTTTGTAAAAAGAAAAAAGTTGTAAAAGTTACTTTAAAATGTTTCATCCTTTTTAACGGACACTCACGGGTTCCGGCTGCGTGTAGGGCCTCCTGATGCCTCCAGATACGGGATAAAGGACTCTGTGTCCCCTTTGCCTCCCAGGAAAGGCAGCAGCATGGCCAGCGTTCTGTCCCGGCGCCTTGGCAAGAGGTCCCTCCTGGGCGCCCGGGTGTTGGGGCCACCCGGGGCTGCCCCACCCTTGGAGCCTCAGGCAGAGCTGCTTGAGGGGGCGGCTCCCCAGCCCTTCCTTGCCTCTAAGGACACGTCCTGCCAGGAGCAGACCAAGGAACTCCTCAAGGCTCCAGGCACCTCAGGCCTCCAGCAGGTGGCCTTTCAGCCTGGGCAGAAGGTAGGTTGATCCCTGAGTGGACAAATGTCTGATCTCTCCAGGCTTGCGTCTGGCGGCCCAGTGGTGCCCTGAGTGAAACTCTGGGCACGGGCTTTAGCACAGACCTTTTCCCTGCAGCCATATGAGCCCTTGGGCAGCAGGCTTCCCAAGGGAATGAGCAGCCCCAGGGCTCCTCCACGACAGTTCTGGGCTCAGGCCTGTTCAGAGCCTCAGTTCAAAGCATGGCCAGAGCTGTTTCTCTTAATCTATCTCAGTTTGCAACTTTATAAAAACAAGGGAAAGAATCTCAGACTTACAGGAGACAGATAAGATTGCATCTTTGAATTACCTTTAGATGTTTGCAAGAGATGAAGGTGTTTGTTTAGTTGGAATGCCATTTGGAGTCCCTTTTCCAGTGTTTCCTCCCCTGTGGCAGGGCTCAGGCATCACCTGTGCCTGATGTTGTCACTAGATCCAGATGCATGGGCTTCTCCTTCATTGCCTTCTCAAGAGCCTCTATGGCTCTGCTTTCTGCCTCTGTTTCAAGGCTTGTGTCGTCCAGACATCTCTTCCCATGAGGTGAGGCCACCTGGCAACTGCTAGGCACCCTTGAAAGTAGTCAGCCTACTTCTTCACCACTACCATCCTGCTCCCAGGTAGACTCAGGATTCTCTGAAGGGAAAAATGCAGGGTGTGAGCAATTCAAGGCGATAGTTGGGGACCAGCAGATATATAGGATTTCAGAGGCTAGTCAGGGCAAGAAATCAGGAGGGAGGGACACAGATTCCAAATTCGTTTGATTTGAGAATTTAATCCGTTTACATTTAAAGTAATTAGTGATAGGTAAGGACTTGGTTTTGCTATCTTGTTAACTGTTTTCTGACTGGTTTGTAATTCCTTTGTTTCTTTCTTCTTCTCTTGCTGTCTTTTTTTGTGTGTGATTTGGTTTTTTTTTTTTTTTTTGGAGTCCTGTGCATTGATTTCTTTATCTTTTGTGTATCTCCTAGAGGTTTTTTCTTTGTGGTTACCATGAGGCTCACAGAAAACATCCTATAGTTATAACAGTCTCTTTTAAGATGATAACAACTTAACTTTAATTGCGTATAGACTCCAAGTTAAAAAAAAAAAAATCCTAGAAACTGACACCTTTGCTCTCTCCATCTAGAGAATTTATAAGGATTTGTTTTGGGAAGAACCAATCCACTGTGGCTAGTCTGGGTGTTCAGGTGGGAAGCGGGTACCTGGGAGCATTTGCTTGAATTAAAGATGAGTCGGAGAATGCAGTTTGTGGCATACGGCTCCCGGCTCCCAGAACTGGGGACATATGGAGTGAGAACTCCCAAGTGCTGACCACTGGCTGCTGCTCTTCTCTCCCCAGGTTTGTGTGTGGTATGGAGGTCAAGAGTGTACAGGACTGGTGGAGCGGCATAGCTGGGCAGAGGATAAGGTGACTGTCTGGCTGTTGGACCAGAAGTTACAAATCTGCTGCAAAGTGGAGGAGGTGTGGCCGGCCGAGCTGCAGAGCCCCATCCCCCAGGCGCCACCTCCCGAGCAGGGAACCCAGGCACCAGCCTACAGGCCTGTCTCCAGGAACATTGATGTCCCAAAGAGGTTTGTGTGACAGAACCTGGGCTCTGAAAGACACATGGGTGGTGAGGTATGGGGTTTTGGGATGTCTTGTGTTGGGGAAGGAATGTGGAACAACCAGGTGTCTAATAGTCAAGATATCGGACAAATGGGATACAGTGAGAGGGCATCCTTTTGAAAAGACCCAGAAGGGCGTCTTTTCTTCCCTGTAACTCTATTATGGGTGATATAGCTTTGTCTGGCTAAGGGCTATTTTTTTCTCCTTTCATGCTCAAACTAAAATTAGGTCTTAGTTTTTCATGATGAGAGAGAGAAAAATGGCTTAGATCAGGAGTCAGCAAACGTGTTCAGAATGGGCCAGAGAGTAAATAACGTAGGCTTTGTGGGCCAAATGGTCTCTGTCACAGCTGCTCTGCTTGGCTGTGGTCACGTGAAATCAGCCACAGATAGTATGTAAACAGGCGGGCATGTTGTGCCCCAATAAAACCTTACTTACGGACACTCAGATTTCAATTTCATGTCATTTCCATGTGTCATGTCAAGAAGGAATATTCTTCTTTTGATTTTTAAAACCATTTAAAAATTGTTAAGCCACTCTTAGCTTGTGAGCCAGGCTAAAACAGGCAGAAGGCTCAGTCTAGAGATTGCAGAGCCCGGGCTAGATATTTAAAACTATTGATGCTGAATGAAGTATGCTTACTTTGCTTTAGAATTTTTTTTTTAAATTATTTTTACTTTTCTGGCCACACCGCACAGTATGCAGGATCTTAGCTCCCGACCGGGGATTGAACCCGCACCCCCTGCAGTGGAAGCGCGGTCTTAACCACTGGACCCGCCAGGGAAGTCCCTGCTTTAGAATTTTATGACATGATTTTTTTCCCTGAGAATATGTATATTCTAATTTCTATGTTATATACTTTATGCACATTGATATTTTAAGATTAAAAAAGAAAATCTGCCAATGAGATTCTTTTCTGTTTTTAAAAAATAAATTTATTTATTTTTATTTATTATTTATCACTGTGTCGTGTCTTCGTTGCTGCATGCGGGCTTTCTCTAGTTGCAGCGAGCAGGCTCTACCCTGTTGTGGTGCGCGGGCTTCTTATTGCGGTGGCTTCTCTTGTTGCGGAGCACGGGCTGTAGGCATGTGGGCTTCAGTAGTTGTGGCACGTGGGCTCAGTAGCTGTGGCTCGCGGCCTCTAGAGCGCAGGCTCAGTAGTTATGGCACACGGGCTTAGTTGCTCCACGACGTGTGGGATCTTCCTGGACCAGGGCTCGAACCAGTGTACCCTGCATTGGCAGGTGGATTCTTAACCACTGTGCCACCAGGGAAGCCCCTGCCAATGAGATTCTTATATACAGGATGTGTAAGCAGTTGAGCCCTGCCCCCTGCCCCATCTGTGTTTGTCTGTGAGTATTATTGTTATTGACAGTACACCCCGTGTCTTGAGACCAGACCAGAGCAACAACATTTGTGATTGTCAATTCAATGGAATACTGGCAAAGAATTGGTCTTTCCATTCTGTGGAAATAAAAATACAAATAATCATATAAAAAGGGGGATGCTGACACATTTAATACATTACTAGTTTTCGTTTAGCTGCTTCAAGCCCAGTCGTATATTTTAGTCGATCTGAATTGTAAAGAATGAATTGTATAATACAGTCCTTTGAAATAGAGGAGCCACCTAGAAATTTATTTCAGACGGACTTTTCATACTTTAGCATTAACTTATAGATAACTTTAATTTTATTTCCAAATAATGTAACTTTATATGGATTAAAAAAATTATGTGTAAAATTTTATAGAACTCTGCTGTATAAAGCATTGAGATTTTCACTGGAAGATTTATTTTAGTATTTCTGGGTGTTTTGCTCATTGGCTTACGTACCAGGTTCTGTTCACATTCAGAAGCTATCACAATACCTCATCATTAATCTTGGGGGGAGGGGAAGGAATTGCTTAGTGTAATTGTTCCCTCTTAAATTTAAATATAAAACGAGGAAAGGAAGGTAATTTTGGTGATTTTGAATTCTAGCTGGCCGTCTTTTATGCCCATGCTTTATTTCATTGCTTGGACTCATTTTCCTTTCCCCCAAATAAAATTCCTGATTTTAAGCTGCAGACTTAGGAAGGGAATTCAAGGGAGAGTGGAACTGCCTCCGGGTGTCAGCAGTGGGATGGGGACCAGCCTGCTTCTGCGGGGGTTGACTGATATTATCACTGTAGCTCAGAATTGAGTCTTTTCCATGAAGAATGAAGAGAGGTCTGCATGCTTTATTTAACAATATTACTTGAGCACACACTGACTGACTGGAGTCGAGGCGTGGAGGGGACAATCTAGGAATGTAAGATGCTCACGTGACCAGCTGTGTAGGGAAGTAACTTTTGGCTCTCACCCGTCTGAATCCAGGAAGTCGGATGCAGTGGAGATGGACGAGATGATGGCAGCTATGGTGCTGACGTCCCTGTCCTGCAGCCCCGTGGTGCAGAGTCCTCCTGGGGTCGAGACCAACTTCTCTGGTGAGGAACGGGGGCACGGGTGGGTTCTGGGTGCGGCAGAGGCCCACGACCGACCTCTTCTGCTTTGGGCAGATAATTGCCTAAGTCGCTGGCCTGGCAGCAGGGTTTCTGGAGTCTCTTCTCCCTGGCATCCCAGAGTGGCTGAGTGACACGGAGTTAGCCGCTTCCATTCTTTTTCCTCAGTTTCCTCCTCTGGGGAGAAGCTTCCTGGTGCATTGTGAAGATGATTGAGCACGGGACTGAGCCACACTGGCCACTTGAGTAAGTTCTTCAATGGGAGTAAGCGAGCGAGGCACTTGTGGGGCTGAACATGGCCAGTGGAGGAACATTGAGTTCTAAAGGTAGAAACTTACCAAATGGTCCCCTAGTGGCCTCAGCCGATTCACTCCCCCGTTACAAGTGCCTGATTCAGCCTTGTAAATTAGGATGGAACAAATGAGCTGAAGTCTAAAATAAATCTAATTGCGTAATACAAATCGATAGTAATTCACAGTAATCGATAGTAATTCACTATCGATTACTATCGATAGTAAATTGATAGACTTCACAGCAAATTTATAAATTAAAAGAAAATTCTAGCACAGCCCCCAAAATATATCACGAGTGATATGGGAGGAAGGAGGGTTGCTGGATATTAGTAGCTTGATAAAACTGGTAGTGAACCTGAAGGGGTTTTGTTTTGAAACTTGTCATCAGGCTGACCTAACTTACTCCCAGGGAACAACTTTTTCATTGGTGAGATCTAACTGAATTGCGAGCTTCTTAAAAGCTTATAGGAAAATACGGAGTCAGCTCTGAACACATACCAGGAGGAAAGTGGCCTTTATAAGCATCCCTCATAAGTAATCTCCCTACCTAGAAAATCAGTTTAAGGGGGTGATAGGCAGACTTACTTGTTTCATCCAAGGCCTGTCGTCAATGGCTAGGCTGCTAGAGGAAGCTATTGCAGTCTGACGGTACCAGTTGTGAGGCAGAGCATCACACACCTGCTCTGTGAGCACCTGGGGGCCACACAGGCAACGCAGGGAGGAAAGGAGTCAATCTTAAGTTCTTAGGAAACTCTACGAGTTTAGGAGATGCAGGAGGTTGGTCAACAGGAAGAAGACCCAGGAAAGTGTCATAAAGGGAAAGAAAATCGTTGACTGCAATTCCCATTAGGTTGCGTGTGTGTGTGTGTGTGTGTGTGTGTGTAATCCATCTACATATGTTCATACACACATCCCAACACCAGCATATACGCATCTTAACTGATAATATGCCATGATATCTTAAGTCCCCTTTGATAAACATTTTTCATTGTCCATTAAAGACTTTTCTCCCCATTACAATATCTTTAAAAAAAAAACATTGTGGATTGATTGATTGATTTGGCTGCCCCGGCTCTTAGTTGCCGCTCACAGGATCTTTAGTTGTGGCATGTGGGATCTAGTTCCCTGACCAGGGATCGAACCCGGGCCCCCTGCATTGGGAGTGTGGAGCCTGAACCACTGGACCACGAGGGAAGTTCCAGTATATTTCTGATCTGACGTTGACGTCAGTGGAGAAATAAGGCCCCCTTGGCAGCTAATTATGTTGACGTATTCTGCAAGGTGAGGTCTCTACAACAACCAGAACCTTGCTCTGATCGTGGATACTCTTTGTGCAGAATCCACCCATTCCCTCTGGTCTCTGTATTGTTAGGATGGCTCTGCATGGGCATGTAGAGAGCAGAGGGGATTACAAGGATTTCTTAGAAGTCCACCATGTGTTTGCAGGGGAGCACTTTGCTTTCATGCTCTGTTGACCCTGCCCTAGAAAATCTTATGACCTAAGGTAGAGCGATTTATGTTCCTCTTACAAGGTATAGATTAATTTATGAGATTCACTTTTTGCTTTGTTTTGTATTTGTCCTTGTGTGCCAATGTGCCAGTGTCATTGTTGAGCCATTTGAATGGTTCCTCGGTGGAAGGCTGCTGTACTGTAGGGCGGGCCTGCCGTTTGACCTGCTCTCTTCTTCTGTCCTGTTGCTAGATGTAGCACTTCTGCTCCCTTGCCCTTCTCTCCCTGATAGGTTTCTTGAGTGGACGTGTGTGAACCCTTGACCTGCTGGCGGCTCCTGAGATCTTTCCTGAAGGGCTACCCTATTTTTAGCCCCATGTGTAGATGTCGTAAATTCTTGGTTTCCAGGAAGTCATTGCTTTGAGACTTGACAGTGACACTTAGGAAGGGCAGAGTTCATCTGTCCCCTTCTGTTTGGGTGGGCTTTTCCTAGCGTGTGAGACTTAATTAAGGAGAGCCTGCGTTGGAAACACGAAATGCTGGGTGTCTAGATTAGCCTAGAAGGGGTTTGGAATATGGAGTGGGATGAGAGAAAAGCAGTGGGATGTTTATCCTGGCCACAGGGGATGTGGTAGACCATCTCAGAATCCAGGGTAAGGAGGCTCCGTGGAATGCTGCCCATGTTGGGAGTTGGGGCTTTTGGGGACAAGGCCACCATACCTGCATGTGTCACAGTTTTCCCCCCTTGCTATTTCCACATATCAAAATTTCAGATTCTCCTATAGTAAAAATTAATACGGATTTATGGTCTCGGCATGGAAGAATCTGGGTCCGGCCTAAAGCAGCCCGAAGAAAGGCAGCTTAAAAACTGAAAATTTGACATGACTCACCTGTGACCTTCCTGTTCAGACGCATTGCTGGGAGCAGGGCAGCGGGTTTAGGCCATGTCGGCTGTGTGGGCCTCCTGTCATCTTGTGATGAGTCTGAACTGCTCTCAGAGCTCGTCTTTCCTTCTCTAAGCGTGTTCCCTGTGGATAACAGAGGAGCCACCTGGGCCACAGCTGGCTCTGGTAAAGGCTACACCTCCTGACAGCTGCGAGAGCTAGCTGGATGGTTTCTTTTCAGACGCCGGTTTTGATGTACTTGCCTGGGTTTAAATGATCAAACAGGCATTTTTCAAGAAAGCCTGGTTAACAGGCCCTTAACCTGGCCTCTCCGTCCTACTCTGCTGCAGGGAAAGCTTCCCAAGTGGTACCCAGCCCGCTTGTCTGTGCTTGGGAGGGAGGCCGGAGAGGCTTTGCCCCTCCCCTCTCCCCGCTCTCCCCCTGCCTTTAAAGTGACAAGTACATTTTAATTAGGTTATCTTTCCATTAATAATACAGGTTTCCCCTGCTCTCTGAAAGTAGAACGTTTCTGTGAAAGCTGAAATGGTACAAAGCGAAGCAATTACCTTAGGACACATGTTGCTAACAGATGCACAGAATAAATCAAGATAAAGCACGGATGCTCACAGACACAGTTCAAAGCTATGGTCGCTAGGTGCTGAGGCGCCGAGTGTGGTTCCCAGGAAGGAGCTCAGTGGGGCCACTCTTACTGCTTGGGGTGCGCACTGCCTCTGTCACAGCTCGCGGCAAAACCAACATCGAACGCTATTTTCACCTTTTTTCATAAAGTGAAAACCCTCCTCAGATTTCTTTTAGTTGATGAAAACAGATACTAATGTATGGTTGTCACTTGGTATTTGTGGAGGATTGGTCCAGGACCCCTGCGGATACCAAACTCCATAGATGCTCAAGTCCCTCGTATAAAATGGCATAGTACTTGCATGTAACCTACGCATATCCTCCTGTATACTTTAAGTCACCTCTAGATTACTTTTAATACCTAAAACAATGTAAATGCTGTGTACAATGTAAATAGCTGTAAATACAATGTAAATGCCTTTTAAATGTTGCTGTTTAAATGTTTAATTGGTGTGTGGCAAATTCAAGTTTTGCTTTGGGGAACTTTCTGGAATTTTTTCTAACTGAATATTTTCAATCCACGGTTGGTTGAATTCTTGGATGCGGAAACTGCAGATTCGGAGGGCCGACTGTGGGTCTTTCATCAAAGGGGAATGGTGTAAAGCAAACTTCCGAAAAGTGGGGGACACCCGCACACAAAATGCAGTTGCAGCGTGTCTGGCGGTCAGATTATCAGCATGGCTGTTGCCAGGAGGTGTCCGCTACAGCAGAGCAGGGCCACCCACAGACAGCGCTGCAATGAATGGACCCAGTCCTCATTTTTACCGAAGCTCAGAAAGGGGAGGGGCTTGTTGGGGGGCGGGGCAACATTTTTTTGTCTTTTTGTTTTTCCCCCTTGGAGTGGCAAAGTCAGGCAAGCCAGAGCCAGGAGTTAGATGCGGGAACCCAGACTCCAAACTAGAGTTTCCTGGCTTCCGCCCTGGGCTGTCCATGCGGAATCCGGAGTGGGCCCAGGGACAGGCCCCTGAGCATCCTCTGTCTTGTCTCTGCCCAGCTTCCCGCGCGGCCTGTGACCCGTGGAAGGAGAGCGGCGACGTGTCGGACAGCGGCAGTAGCACCACCAGCGGGCACTGGAGTGGGAGCAGCGGTGTCTCCACCCCCTCGCCCCCCCACCCCCAGGCCAGCCCCAAGTATTTGGGGGACGCCTTTGGCTCTCCCCAAACTGATAACGGATTTGAGACCGACCCGGACGCTTTCCTGTTGGATGAACCAGCTCCCCGCAAAAGAAAGGTACACGGCGTGAGCAGGGAGCTCGGCCATGGAGGGGACGGGCCCCCGGGTCCTGGGCCTTCTCAGGCTCCATCCCATTTCAGCTTTCCTTTGCTGCTTCTCTTTCCTCCTGGCATTCCCAGGAGCCTGTTCCTCCTCTCCAACGCCACGTCCTTGGCCTTCTCACCTCTGCCCCAGCCCTGCCTTCGTTCCTGCTCTCCTGCAGAGGCCTCTGGCAGGCCTTCCTTCCTCCCCACCAACCATCCCCACTCTAGGTGCCAATGCCGGCCCCCGGGACCAGCTGCCGAGTCCAGGCTCTGTGCCCCTGCTTGTCAGTGTCTCTGGTCCCTGGGAAACCCTTTCCTCGGCCTTCTGCTGGGTTCTGTTCGAAGGCAGCTAAAGCCCCCACTGGGTGAGGCTGGGAGGGGGCTGAAGGGGAGGACACGTCCCCCTTACCCCGTCTTCCTTTCCCCCAGAACTCGGTGAAGGTGATGTACAAGTGCCTGTGGCCCAACTGTGGCAAAGTCCTGCGCTCCATCGTGGGCATCAAGCGCCACGTCAAAGCCCTCCACCTGGGGTAGGTACTAGCCCAGGGCCCCTCTGCTGAGGGTGCCGTTCAGGCGTCCTCCACCTGCCGATTCCCCGAGACCCACAGTCCCGAATGCCTCCGAGAAACTGGCTGGCTGAGGATGCCACCTGTCCCTGGCCTTGTGCCCTGCAAAACAGTCCCTTGGAAAGAGATCTTTGCTGGGAGGGAGGCCCCTCCTGCAGTAGTGGATGCTGATGCTGTTGATGGGAAGGGAGCTCTCTCCACCCTACCGTTGTGTCCTCTCACCTCACCGTAGGAAGGAAGGTGTTTCAGTTCTGGACAGATAGAGGGCGACTGGTGAGAGCTTGTTGCTTCCCCTGGGGAAGCCAGGGCTCCCTTTGCACTGACCCCCTGGAGCTGGGGCAGCTTATGGCCCAGGAAACTGACTCAGAGCCCTATCCCTGAAGGAGAGCAACTGCGAGTGGGTGGGGCCCGGAGAGGACCCGGGGGTGGAGATCAGAGTCAGATCTTGCGGGAAGAGAAGCCTTCAGTGATGGGGAAAACAATTCCCGTTGACGGGCCAGCATGTAATCCCCTGTGAGCCCACGTCAGGAGCAGGGCTCCTGGGTGTCCTGCTGGCCTTCTTCCCAGACTCGCCAGGTGGCCCTGGGCAACTGCTCCCCTCGCGCCTCACTCTCCCCTGTGTTTGGACCAAGGCAGCATGTTCCTGGTCATCAGTGCGTCTCCCTCCCACGCAGGGACACCGTGGACTCCGACCAGTTCAAGCGGGAGGAGGATTTCTACTACACAGAGGTGCAGATGAAGGAGGAAGCTACTGCCGCTGGTGGCTCCACCGTCGACCCGGCTCCCACCCCCAGCGTGACCAGCCCGCCCCTTGCCGTTCTCCCTCCGCCTCCTCCCAAAGCCCAGTCCTCAGGCCCAGATCACCCTGGCCTGGAGTCCTACCTGCCCTCTGGTGCTCTCAGCAAGTCAGCTCCTGGCTCCTTCTGGCACATTCAGGCCGACCATGCATACCAGGTATAGGGTGGGGACCTGCTGGGAGCTTAGTCTGGTGGCCGTGAGGACTTTCAGCGTGTGACTGTCACTGGTCAGCCTGATCACAGGCCACTGACCACCCCGGCTGAAGGCTGAGTCCTTTGGCTGCATTACTAATCTCTGACTTCTACAAAGAAGAAAAGAAAAATGACCTCATACTCGATAAATATGGGGATTCCAGAGTTCTACCTCAGTGGCCATCTTGAGCGGTTTTGAGAAATCTGGATGGATCCCCGGGTAACCAGGCTGATGGATTTGGGCTGGGGAACTGGTACATCGCTGGCTATAAAAGGGGATAGAAGAGTGTAGTTGGGTTTCCCAAAGCAAATCCCCAGTTCCCAGAATTGTGTTAAGAAGTAATCTGGCACTCAGTTTTTCGAATACCTACTAAGCCTCGGGCTAAGCTTTACGGATAGAATAAGACATAGTTCCTGACCTTGTGAGTTGTATGCTTTAGCTGGAGAGAGAAATGAATGGGTAACTATGGTTAATTATAATAAGTAATCAAAGTATCTTACTGGAGGCATAAGAAATTGTTGTGGGTACAGAAAGACCAAGCTACTATGCCTATGGGGTTGGTAAAGCTGTCGTGGAGGGAGTGGCATTAGGATGGACTTTACTGCACGTAGTAGGTACTGAACACCCTGCTTGCCACGTGTCGGTTTTCCTTAAAATCCTTGTATGCCTACAGCTTGGTTTTATCCGACTCTAGGCTGATTTGCAAGTTTGTAATTAAAAAGCAGTGTTTTCCATCAGAAAGCCTTTACAGATCGAGCCACCTCTTCTGCTCATTAGAATGAGTGGCCGCTTAGCTATTTCATGTCGGGCCAACTTCAGGTGGCCCTTCGGGCAGCCGGCCAACTCTGTGAGATGGGGCCTGGAGAGGGCGGCTGGTGTTTTTACAAACAACCCTCAACCTGGACGTGCCGCTTCCACGCGGTTGCCTGGGGACGCCAGACCCTTAGCGCAGCCCCAGAAGCTCCCACTCGGAAGGCTTTTGGACTTCTTGGGGGAAACTGCCTCGAGCGTGTTCTCGGTGGGTGATCCAGCCAAGAAGTTAATCCGTGGAGATGATTAAGTCATGAGGCTGGCGTGTACACCAGCTCCGAGAGAAGGGCTCCAAAAGAAGATTGGAGCCTGAGACTCAGGCGACCCCACAGAGTCGGTACTCTCATATTTCTCTTTGGAAGAGCATTTCGGGGTGTCCCAGAATTCCCTAGTCCGAGGTGTACCTGCTGCTGCAGCCCGTGAGGTCACGGGGGGAGGGCTGGGCCCCGAAAGCTTCCTGAGCTGCGGCCCAGGCTGACGCTCTCTGATCTCCGGCAGGCCCTGCCGTCCTTCCAGATCCCCGTCTCACCGCACATCTACACCAGTATTAGCTGGGCCGCTGCCCCCTCTACGGCCTCCTCCCTCTCTCCGGTGAGTGTGCCCAGCTCTGAGCCCGTCACCACTTCCAGGGACCCGGTGCCGGAGGCCGCCTCCCCGCGCACGCCTCCTGTGCCCCAGCTTCTCGAAGGTCTTTGTGCCCTCGCCCCCCAGCTCGCCCCCCCCGACCCCCTGCGGGTCACAGGCTCCTGTAGAAGGTGGGAGGGGTGCACCTGCAGAGGAGCGCCCAGATCAAGCAAGTTGATTGCCAAGAAGATCACGGGGCCAGGCGGGGTCCGCGCCCTGTTTAGCCGCGAGCGTCTGTGCGTGCTTGGTAAGGTTTTAATGCTGAGAGGAGAAGGGAGAGAACCTGGGAAAGCTGGAGAGGACGAGGGCGGGTGAGAAAGGAGAGAGGAGCTTGTGGGTGGGCTGTGCGGGTGGATCAGAGATCCCCAGGCCACTGGGGACCAGCGCCTTAGGTGGCTTGCCTCTGAACTAAAGTAAATCGGAAGTCCTTTTGAACCATGCTTGGTGGGTTCCAGTCTGAAACATCTCCTGCAGGGAGGCATCACACGCTGTAAAACGTGCCTTGGAGGTGCCATTGAGGCAGGGCCGTGCCTCCTTTTGCCCCACATATGGTGGCTCCATCCAGATCTGCAGGGAGCAGGCCGCAAGGTGGCCAGGCCAAGTGGCTCCCCCTTGCCCGTGGCCCCTACTCCCAGCGGGCATGTGGCTTTCCAGGCCGGCTCGTCCCTCTCCACCTCCCCTCCCTAGCTGGTTTCTGCTCACCTCTGCCTGGAATGTCCTTCCAGAGAAGGCCTCCTGGCACAAGGCGGGTGTGGCCGGCTGTCCCTGGGGACGGTCTTCTCGTCCTCTCGCCTTGCACGTCTGCCCTCATGCTCACGCCCCTCCCCACCCCGTGCCCAGGTCCGGAGCCGGTCGCTCAGCTTCAGCGAGCCCCAGCAGCCTCCACCCGCCATGAAATCTCACCTGATTGTCACTTCTTCACCCCGGGCCCAGAGCAGCACCAGGTGAGACCCTCTGCTCCCGAGGCCTCCCTTCTGGCTTCGGTCCCCGCCCGACCCTCATCCGCAGGGTCAGAGTCCCAGGGAACCACCCTGGGTGCGGGGGAGAGGCAGCTGGTCCTCTGGTCCCGGGGGGTCCCACCCCTTCCCGCCACCGCTTCTCGCTCAGCCTCGGGCCTGGCCGCGCTCCAGCCAGTGCGTGACTGTCCCCTTGTCGCTCCGTCTTGCAGGAAAGCCCGCGGGGAGGCTAAGAAGTGCCGCAAGGTGTACGGCATCGAGCACCGGGACCAGTGGTGCACAGCCTGCCGCTGGAAGAAGGCCTGCCAGCGCTTCCTGGACTGAGCTGTCCAGCAGCCCTGCCCGACGGCCAGAGGACAAAGGCAGACGCCTCCTAAGCCCTCAGCAGAAACCTAAAAGCTAAGGCGTGGACATTGGGAGTTTGGGCTCTATTGGCTAAGGTTTAATACTTAAAACGTTTTTCCCTCCCTCACGGGAACGTTTTATTTAAAAAAATAACAAAACAAAAAAAACCCATGAAAATATTTTTTCCCCCCTAAAATAGAAGAGAGCCAAAACTGACCAAGGGTATTCTGCAGCGAACCGGAGACCAAAGAACTGATTCCGCTCCCCTCCCCCCGGCCCGTCTCCCTAGGGGATTAGTTTGTCCGTAAAGAAAGAAGGAACAGCTCATTCTGTTTCCTGCTGAGGTGGTGAATTCTTTGCTTTCTCCACTCTTCCAGAAGGGACTGTAAGCAAGATGGATTTACTTTTCTTTAAAAAAAAAAAAAAAAAAGAAATTTCTGGCTGATGACTCAGAGAGCAGGGCCTGCTAAGGCTGGTGCGGGGGAGAGTGGGGGGAATCTGGGGGCTTTGTAAGGTGCAGCCGGCCCTCTTCTCCGCCCGAATGTGGGAGAAGGGAGACCTTGTCCTCACCCGTCAGCTTCCATGGAAGTCGAGGGCAAACCATTTTCCTGGTGATGACTGTTTGAATCCGGGTTCCCTGACGTTGAATTGCAGCCCAACCGATATTGTATGGCTTCTTCTCCAAGCCCAGACTCGTAGGTTTGTAAAGACTGTCCCCAAATAGCTGAGCCAAAAGGCTCAAAGGAATTCACGTTGCGCGGCGTGGCAGTTAAACACTACCTTGATCACTCTTTCCTATTTCCTTGAGGAGAGACCAGAGGGTATATATGGTATTTGTGAGAGTTCTCCCCTGTTCCCCGAGTGAATCCACTCCCCGCCAGCTCTGGAAGACACCCCAGAAACACTTTGTTTTCTGTTACGGCGTATTCAGAAGCCTCTTTCTGATTAAAGATCCCTTTTGTTTGGCTGAGAGACCCTGCCCTGAGGTAGGTTCCTCTTTGTCTCTGGTTTCACCAGGGATTTTCCCATGTCCCTCCAAGGCCGCAGGGCTGGGCTGGCGGAGAGAACAGACTGAAAGGTAGGTGGCAGCTTCCCCCATTGTGAGAGGGTGTTGAGTGGTCCCCAAAGGGTCCACTGGCTCACCTGCCCCTTTGGGGACCATCTGGTCTCCTTCCTGAGGTGACAAGTAGGACAGGACTCTTCAGTCAGTGCAGGAGACTTCTGGTTGGTCCAGTCAGTGTGATGGGGAGGGTCACTTTGATAACGGTGTCACCTTCCCAGATACCTGCTGAGCGCCGTTTCTGCCTGCCGGCAGGATGCAAGAAGTTAGGATCCTGAGGAGGTCACGTGAGGGGGACCGGGGTTGATTTCGCAGCTGCTGGCGCTTCTGGAGACCTCAGGAATGGAGGGGAGCCCGGACTGCGATGCTTGGGAGGTAAATAAGCCAAGCTGTTCTTGTTGAGGAGGAAGGAGAGGGGGGTTCCGCGCCGTGCCAGCCAGTGACGGATCAGGGCTGGGTGAGCTGGGCGGAGGGGAGGGCGTGTTTTTGTCTCGAAGCCTCACCTTTGTTCTGAGCGGGACTGGTCTGGGGACTCCTCAGGGCCTGCGTCCCAGATGTCAGGGGCTCAGGGAATCCCACCAGGCCACCCCTCTGGGGCCTGCACAGCGGCGTCCAGCCGTTGGCTGTGAGCGAGGCTGTCCTCCTGGTCCAGGTGGGATCATCTGGCTGCTGAAGCAGGAACCGTGCAGATGCCTTTCAGTCCGAGACACATCTGCAACCGTGCAGGTTTCCGAGTGTTGCAAACATGAGAATAGGGCTGTGATGTTGTGAAGGGTGATAGTGACCTGGGTTTGGTGACAGAAGGGAAAGACACTCTTATGCATGAGTGTTTTTGGTGGTGATGGGGTATATTTTTATAATTTAGTCAAAAAAAAAAAAAAAGTATGTGGAATTCTGTCCCTTGGTAAAGCTTGACACCAGGCCAGCAAGAGGTGCCCTGGGTTCTCCCTGCTGCCCCTTCAAGCTCCCTGATTAAAAGCTAATGCAGGGTGTTGCTGTGCTGACGCCTCACTTCCCACCCTGTGCACCTGCAGGTCCTCCCCGAGGGGGAGGGGCTTCTGAGATGGGGGTGGGGGGAGGCTCAGCCCAGCAGCCTCTTCCCTTCCCTGCTTAATCGGAGCTCTTGCTGGGTCTCGCCTTTAGAAAAGCTGTTTTAATTTCCCCCTCAGTTTGGACCGTGTAGATATAACTGGGTATAAAGATTTTCTCTAAGTAAGGCAGGCTTCTTATGTCACTGGTGCACAGGGCAGAAAAGGAAGAGAGAAGAACTTGATGCAACGATTTAAAAACTGAGGTCTTTTTTTCTTTTTTGTTTTTTCCTTTAATGTTCTGGTGCGGCTTTCCCCATCAGCATTTGCTCCTGCCTCCTTTCTGGTGGTGGCGGCAGCCTCCTCTGGCCGCCCTCCTCCCGCTGCCCCATCTGTGGCTATCGTGTTGGTTCTTGACGTGCGGTCTGTCCCGGGGTTGTCCCATTCGTCTCTTCTCGGGGGTGGGGGTGGGGGTTTGTGAACTGATCCCGCGATCACGCCTGTTTTCTTCATCTCTGTATCTCTCCCTCCTTCCCGGCCCACCCGGGCGGCAGAATCTGATAGGAGGTAAGAGGCCGCAGGTGCGCACTGGAAACTAACAGGACGGATTGGCAAAAGCAGGTGTCTTGGGAAACTATTCCAGGGACGTTTCCCTTATTCAGAATATTTCTGGAAGTACCTTTGGAGTCTGTGGTGCCTGCTCTGAACAGCCTTAATGATACCAAATCTGCACCCGTGCTTGCGCATTCAGTGCAGAGAGAGACCGGCGAATAGTAGCTGTGGGCAAATGAGGTCACAGGTGCAAAGCATAAGGACCAACGTGCTAGTAAAATGGCTTGGATTTAATGATCTGACTTCTAAGCCGGCTGTGAAAGCAATTGTGTAATTTCAGAATGCATTCTGAGCGACGTCCTCATTGTTGCAGTCGGCCCGCGCGGCTGGACTTCTTGGAGGACATAATGAATTTGGATGTGGAAACTCCGATTTGTTTGAAGAAATCTGTCCTGTTACTTTCTGGTCCTCCCAGGTTCTGACTTTACCAGGGGCAAATAAAAAAAAAAAAGGAGAAGAGGGAGACAAATCCCATCTGTGAACTTGTCTTCTTGGCGCCTTTTCCCCCAGCTGTCTTCCAAGTATTATTTTTACTGTCAAAAAATTTTTTTAAAAATGTGAAATGTAATGTTTTTACAGCAACAATATGAAATATATTTTATAAGGAATAAAATGGTACATTGTCTGATTTAGTGTGTGCCTGTCCCTTTGCCCTCTCCCCCCTACAAAAGATAAGATTATCATTGTCCTTGGTGTTAAACAAGTGATAGCCCTGGGGGCGAAGCGTACACACTCATTTGCTTATAATAACAACAGGCAACATTATTAGGGACCCAGCCAATTGCTTTCATGGATTACCTGAATAACCCACGAAGGAGTTACTATCGTCAGTCCCATTTTTATTTTATTTTATTTTAAAAATTTTTTATTTTTTAAATTTATTTTATTAATTTATTTTCATCATTCCCATTTTACAGATGAGGAGAGTGAGGCCCAGAGGTTACAAAAACTTGACCAAAGTCATCATCTGGGAAATAATGGCACTAGGATTATAACCTAGGAAGTAACCATTTTCTTTTATTTTTTTCTTTTTAATCTCCAATTTTTATTTTTACAGTTTAATGATTTATCACAAAGCAAACACCAAAGTATCTACCAGTCATTGAAGAAACAGATCATTGCCAGCATTCCAGAAATTGCCTTTGTACCTCAAGCAAAGTGCCACTCCTCTCTTCTGCATAAAAGCAACCACTATTCTTTGACTTTCTATGTCAGTTACTTTCTTGCTTTAGGAAGTAACCATTTTCTCTCCTGCTTGTATTGACAATGGGGAGATGTTCCTGGCTGTGTACCTGAGTTTGTTGGGGAGTGGGCAAGTGACTAAGGAGAAAATGAGTCACATTCTGCTTATGGAGTGAGCTCTGACCCTAGGGAGTGACATGGGCTGCTTCCTGAATTCATGGGTTCCGTGTCCTATGATTGCCCACGTAGCTGGTGCAGGGCTGGCGTGGGTAGGAGGGGAGCTGGTGCAGAAAGCTATGTCTCGTTCTGGTAGCTCAGGGGCTGCTTTACGAAATTGGAGGCATTTCTGGGACGGTGAGGCGCCACTTGGAGAAGACCCAGGGGACTACATTACCGCCGAAGTCCGTCAAGCTCAGCAGCCTGTGGAGGAGGTTGTCCTTGGCCTTTTCCTCACCTTGGGGTAGAACAGAGGGCTCCTTTCTCCTCCTTCCCTTGTCCTTGCCCCACTTCTCTAAGAAAGCCCCAATAGAATCATTGCTCTGTTGCAGTTGACCCCCTTCCCCCATCCCTCCTTTAAATCAGTTTACTGCCTTTGGGCTGGACATTGTCCGTTTGCGGCCCTGGGCCCTCCCAGGCCCACCTTTGTGGCTGCATCCGAGGACTCCCTAACTTTCTGGCTTCCAGTTGGGTTTGACCAACTGGAGACAACAGGCTGGAGCTGGAAGGGAAAGGAGAGAGGAGTTGGGGTATTTGAATCTCGCCGACCTTTACTGCCCTGCACAGTGAGTGGCCGTTTCCCTACTGACCGCTAGAGGGAGCTACAGTTCTCACTGGGTTCCAGTAATCCCTCACCAGGGCCCCCCAGTTCCCCAACAGAGCGCCTTATCCTCGCTCCCTTACTGATTTCTCACAGGCCCGTCTACTTCTGTAGATGTTTGACTCTCTGCAGGCACTCCGTTTGGGTGGACCCGAGGTTTCTTGGCTGAATTGATGACTACACATCGTAACATGTTTCGTGTTAATTGCGACCCAGTCCGGGGGTCCCAAACCCGCAGGCTCTACATCACCTGGAACTTGTTAAAAATGCAAATTTCTAGTGAGTCAGAAACTGGGGGTGGTGCCCAGCAACCTGGCCTCCGCCATCCCGCCCGGTCCAATCACGCAGCTGTGTGTGGGCTTGCATCTGGGGACCCAGCACAGTCGCGTTGTTTCTGCTCATGTATCTCGCCCGTCACACTTTACATAAAGCAGAGCCTCTCTCTTTTTGCCTCTGCCTCCCAGGAGAGGCAGCTCTGACCGTGTGTCCGGCGTCTGTGCTTCTCACTTCACTTAACAGCCAACAAGGGCTTCCCTGGTGGTGCAGTGGTTAAGAATCCACCTGCCAACGCAGGGGACTCTGGTTCGAGCCCTGGTAAGGGGAGATCCCACATACCGCCGAGCAACTAAGCCCATGCACCACAACTGCTGAGCCTGCATGCCACAACTACCGAAGCCCGCGCACCTAGAGCCCATGCTCCTCAACAAGAGAAGCCACCGCCATGAGAAGCCCGCGCACCACAACTAGAGAAAGCCTGTGCGCAGCAACGAAGACCCAATGCACTTTGCATTTTGGATCATATTCCTGGGTAATTTCTGGATTTAAACATTTCTCTTTGTCTTTTCTTCTAAAAAAATTATTTATTTTGGCTGTGCCAGGTGTGAGTTGCGGCATGCATGCGGGATCTAATTCCCCCATTAGGGATCAAAACCCAGCCCCCTGCATTGGGAGCGCGAGTCTTAACCACTGGACCACCAGGGAAGTCCCTTTTTGTCCCTGTTTTTACTCTCACTAAAGGCTCTTCAAGAATAAAAATGCTCACTTTTTAAGAAAAAAAAAAAACAGCCAACCAATTTGCTAACCATTTGCTCAGTATAAGTTTAATGGAGAAATATCTGTTTAAAACAATAGGTCAAAAAGAACAGCTCTTTTACAAACAAGTTATGGCAGTGACGAGTCAAAACCCCACTCTTGATTTCCTGTTCCTTGAACCCACCCCTAGAAGAGGGAAGAGGTGGGTGAGAAGGAAAGATGGGGCTGTTTAAATGTTAGCTGGAAGGATTACAAAAATACACTCTGATGTAACAGGCTTGTCATGAAACATGCCATGGGGGGAGGGGCAGGAAGGAGGGGGGAAGGGAAAGACGACCAGATGGGGCTGGGCCCTGTGGGTGGAGGCCTGGAGACAAGGCCTGCCTCAGGGCCTTGGGGAGGAAGGAATCCTGATTCCCAGTCGGCAGGTCTGGGGCTGGAGACATGCTGATTTGTGGATCACCCGGACACCTGGGGAGACAGAAATGATTACAGTGGCAAATCTGACAGTTTTTCTGACCCTTCACTTCTGTTTTCCCTAGTGCCTGAGCAATAGACAGGAGGCAAAGAAAAGCTATCATTCACATAATTAGTCCCAAAAGCAACAAGAAGGGTTTCCTGTCTCCCTCTACATACCTGCTTTCCTGTTGTCACCCGCCCCCCTCCCCGGTCTAGTGGCAGGACCAACAGAATGAAGGGAAGTCTGTGGGCTAGGGCTTCAAAGTCAGAAGGAGAGAACTGCCCAGAAGCAGTTCTCTCATCCCTGGAGTTTGGAATCTGTGTGTGGTAATTCATTTCTTCAGGCTAAAGAGAGCCCTCAT